TTATATTCGAACTGGCTTAAATATTATTATATAATTTATATAAAACATATTAACGTAACTAAAATGAAATAATGTTGAATATCCAAGTGATGTTTAAGCGTCGCGCAAATTTTTGTTTGAAAAGATAGTACTGGTAAACTTCCCCGTTAATTTTCATATTTATCTGTGCCTCGAATCTCTTTGCACGACTGCTTTTGCCTTAGCGTAGTACAGGTGGGTATTATCCATATGCTCAGACTTATGTGTGCAAGACTTCTGTTCGGTTTCAGTCACCAACAGTTACCAATATGATAATATATCCCTACATATTCAAGCGATATTGGTGTAATAAACTTTTTTATTATAGATTATACTGCTTATTCTTCAATAAGCGAATTTTTCGTGTTTTTAGCGAAATATGTATAATCCTAAAATTTACAATAAAGCATTTTTTAGAAAAACAAAATTTTTTTGTAAAAGTAAAGCTTTTTGAATAATACGATTAAATTACGTTTTTGTATATATATTAAGTTTTTCTTCAACCAAAATCAAACAAAGGAGAATATATCTAAAAATTCAAAAGTATCATAACAAAAAAGTGTTATTAAATATGTTAGTAATAGGCAATATATTCTATCATTCGATAAAACTATTTTAAATAATAAATTTGCAAAAGCAAAAAAGTTATACAAAAGTTTTATTCTCTAATATGTGAACACGTATTCATTGGGTATTCTACGTATTCTAGGGATGTTCATGAATACTTGATACTTATGTAAAATGAAACTATTATATTGATGCTAATATATGCAATAATTATTTAATATTATTATTTAGATATGTTTGAGTGATATAATTAATATATAGAATATAACACATATTATTAAAATACTATATTACAAGGTATATTTTAATTTTCTATTTAAATAAAATATTTTTGGAATATTTTATTAATCGTTCATAATATAATTTAATTTAAATAAACTTAGTAATTTATAATGAAACAAAAAATAAATTTTTCCCAAACAATTTTTATAATAAAAAATTGTTTAGTTTCAAAATAAATACATCGCCAGATTAACTGTGCGATATTATTTCACATTCTAAAATAGAAAAAACTAACATAAAATATATTTTGACAAAATGTGAAATTCAAAGCTCGAAAAGCCGTCGGCTCTAATTACTCAATTAAAGCCAACGATCCCCTCGACAATGACAAGCGACACTAGAAGCTGGATATTGCACATGGACTACGTACACGTCCAATTTAATTTCTGACTACGACGCCTACTCTTCCACTGTCAATTACGAACGAGAGTATCGATGCAATAGAGGCGGTAGCACTTTCCATGCTCTCCTCTCTATTACGTTGAGTCATTGGTCATCGTCGTGCTACGTGTGCCCTTGTTTCCCAGTCATCATAAAGCTCTAATGTTAGTCCCTTTACAGAGTGTACCCAGATATTTTTTCGACCATTCAGTGCTCGATAAAAGAGAACGAATGATATATAATGTATGTTGAACTCCACGAGGCTACTTCTCTGAGAGATAGTAGGATAGTTCAAGAGGTCTTCAAAGTTACCAGTACCAGAAGCTACGAGAAAATTCGTCAACTCACATAAAATCATTTCCTAATATGTAATTAATAATTGTTATTATGTAGGCTATATTTAAAAGGCAACATATTAAAAAAATGTGTTTTACCAATGATGTTTTAATAAAAATATATTTTTTTAAAAGTACTTTACATTAAAACATGGAACTTTATTCACGAATTGAAAATAAATTTAATGATGTTACATTCTTTTAACATTCATTTTAATAAGATATGAATCATATATTTTTTGTTAGAATAATTAAATTCCATAAAAAATAAGTTTTATAAGACATTAAAAATTACATAGATTATACAAAAAATATTTAAATATATATTTATAAATATAAATAATAATACTCATCCTAATGAATAAATATGATAATTAATAATATATCATAAAAATTGGCAAAGTATATAGTTATTATAGACATTTAAAATAATCAGAACTATTTAATAATTTTGATTAAACTCTAAATTATTATTAGTAATGACAATATTTTAATTTTATTTAAGTAAAATAAATTATTTATTAATAAAATAAGTAAATAAAGTACAAGTCTCATTACGAAAAATATATTATTTAACTTTTCACTATATTTTGTAATGTATCCCCAAAATATTAATTCATTTCATTTTAATTTAATATTTACATAATTTTCATTTATTGATTATATAAATATACGGAGTGAAGAATAAAAGGTTTATTTTAGTTTATAAATATTTTTAAATATAATCTCCATATGCTATTCTAATAAAAGTTCAAGTTAAAGAAGACAGAGTATGAATTTATCAGTATTGGTTCGAGCAAATTATTTTGGTTATTTAAATTATTGAACAAATGACAAATGACAAATATTTATTTTAATCTTGAATTATAATAGTTACATATCTTTTATTGATAATCGTTTCAATGTAAGTTGTCTATAAAAATTATTAAATAAGTAATTTAATTTTATCACATTAACAATTTTATGTTTTGAAGAAATTACAAAATTGTATAGTATAGAAAATAGGTATGTATCAATTTTAATAAATTTGCATTTATTTCGCTTGCAATTCTAGCCATAAGCTATTAAAATTGAAATAACCACTGAAGATTTTGAAATTATTCATTTTAAACTTAACCATAGATTATTAAGATATTTATCTTCAACTTAAAATCGTGTTAAAAAAGAAGTTGGTTTAAAAGTATCTATCCTGTATACTATAATGGTATGCATACACGTAGTAGCTCCTATGCAGCCCACTATTTTGAATAAAAGATAATAATAAAAAAATATTCCGGATAGCTGGGAGGCGCTACTCAATGATGTGCAATGATGGAAAAATCATGCGGGCGTGCGTAATCCTAATTATTATATCGCATTACTTGTTTCATTAGAATATAATAATAAAAGCAGTTTAATTATAAAAGCACTGTACGCTTTGCTTTCTCCGTCAGTTTATCAAACAAACGTATTCTTTATGAGACTTCTAATTTATACATCTATTTATCTAATATTTAATAACTTAGCATAATTTTTGTATTTTTGAATATTATTTAATCTTCGCTCCTTATTATAATTTCAAATGCATTATTCAAATGCATTATAAATTATTATAAAATATTTGTAACATTATTATAAAATATAAATGTAACTATTTAGAATATTTATAATAAACCGAAATCAGAATGATTTATAATGTTGAATTTGATATATCTAAATAATATGTTAACAATTAAATACAATTAATTTTCTTTAAATAATATCAATACAACAAAGTTTCTTTCATTTTCATAAATTATATCGTCGATTAATAAAAAGTAATCCAGCAATACAAATGAAAAGGTTTTTAATTATTTTTAAAAATGTTAGATTTCTTCACCTTTCTACTTCTAAGAATTGTAAAGAATTTATCTCCCTAAATTTCTGCTCATTGGAGCATTAATAGGAGTTAAGTAAAAATAAAGTAATTAAGTAAAGTAAAAGTAAAAATATTGTTATTTATAAATAATTTTTTAATTCAATGTAGTTCTCAGATAATTATAAGTCGAATAAATATAGAGTATAGTTTATTTTGTATTGGTACTCCCTTGTGTATACTCCTGAAGAACAGAATTTTATTATTCCTTCTTTTTTAATTAAAAATAATGAACAAATAAATACAGTAAAATGAAATATTATAGAATAATTATTTCACAATATATATTAAACAGAAAATTTTTTTTTACTAAGAAATATTGATTTTTATACCAGAAAAATATAATATATTTATTATTTTAATTTACGACTAAATCAAATGTACTTTGTACGAATTAAGTTCAAACAAGAAATATGTTTTAATTATTTATATTATAATTATTCATGAAAATTATATCTATATATATATATATATATATATATATATATA